TTTAATGTGTGTCAACAACAAACTCAGTGCTACATGTAGTTTGTTGTTGACACACGTTAATATGTTATAATACCTTGATAAATGTTGGCATTCAGCCAACTGAAATATTGGTAAAATAATTGATATTTTGATCCAATATATACCTTTTTACCTTGATAAAGTTTGGCGTTTAGCCCCAACTGAAATATTGGAAAAATAATTGATATTTTGATCCAATATATACCTTTTTACCTTGATAAAGTTTGGCGTTTAGCCCCAACTGAAATATTGGAAAAATAAATGATATTTTGATCCAATATATACCTTTTAAATTAAATATTTATTTATGGATTGCTCTATTTAAAAACAATTATACATCTAATATCACATGTATATTATTTTGAAAATAGAGCAATCCATATTTAATTCATTAGATAATAAAAAGGTATTTAGTGGATTGTATTATAAATGTAATGCCTCGATAAAGGTTGGCGTTCAGCCAACTAAATATTGGCAAACTAAATCTTTTATTAAATCCAATATATGCCTATTTATTATTGTTGTGGGTCAGTGATGCAAAAAGAACAGCCAAAAGAAATGATTTATGAATATAGGATTATTATTTTAATATAAGGATATATGAGGATATATATGATGACACAGCAGTAAAAACAAAGGCAGGCTTAAGACTATATACAAGATGACGCACGGCAGAAGGGGAGGGGCGTTCCCATTGGTCAGTCATTTCCATGCAGCGCCGCCAAGCGGTGCCCGTGTCCACGCCTGTGTCCACGCTTCTCTCATCAATTATCTAATGTATAATTATATACAGTAAAATCACACACACAAACCTTTATAATGGATCAAGTCCCATACAGGATTCTCCCAGTATAACAATGGTTTTAATTGAACATAAATCAAGTAATATACCAGGTCTATTAGTATGAAACGCGAAAATTTTCAGTGAATTCAAAAGTTCACCAATTCCATACAACAAAAGATTTTTTATTCAAAGTAATTGCCCTGATTAGCTATACACTCAGACCACCTTTCAGGCAATTTTCGAATTCCTTGTCTGAAAAATTCTATTCCTTTTGAGTCGAACCAGTCAACAAGCCATTTTCGGAGTATGTCTGAGTTCAAATATTCCTGTTTTTTTAGGGCGTGTCTTAAAGATGTGACAAGGTGGTAGTCCGACGGCGCTAAGTCTGGTGAGTACGGCGGGTGGGGTAAGAGTTCCCAGCCCAAGTCTTTTATGGTGTTTTTGAGCACTGTAGCGTTGTGGGCTGGAGCGTTGTCATGCTGCAGTATCAGCTTGTTGTGCTTTTCACGCAATTCCGGTCTTATTTCATTCAATGCCTCTCTCAAACTGTGCATTTGTTGTTCGTAGCGACTAGTATTGACCGTTTCGCCAGGTTTCAGGAGCTTGAAATATACTACGTCGGTCTGGTCTCACCATACGCAAAGCATTTCCTTTTTTCCTAAGCGATTGGGCCTAGGCTTCTGTTTTGGAAATTGGCCGAGCAGGCCCCACGACTTTGGCGCATAGGATTGCTGAAGTGGATCGATTTCTCATCAGAAGTTACGATTCGGTGCAAAAATGACTTCTTTTCATGCCTGGCGAGCAGCCCTTCGCAGGTTACCAGACGCCTTTCTTGCTGCCTTTCGCTCAACTCGTGGGGGACCCATCTGGAAAGCTTTTGGGTCATTCTGAGGCTGTTTAAACGTAGGGAAACAGCACCTTGAGACACCTGGAGCTGTTTCGCGAGTTTCTCCTGCGTTTGGGTACTGTCCTCATCCAACAAAGCTTGCTGTTCAGCGTCCTCGAACTTTTGGTGCGGTTTTCCACGTGGTTCATTATCAAGTTCGAAATCGCCACTTTGGAATTTTTTAAACCACCTGTAATACTGCGATTTTCTCAGAGCGTGGTCGCCGTGAACTTCCTCGAGCATTCGGTGGGCTTCAGTGGCACTTTTCTTCCAGTTGAAGGCGAACAACAAAACTTCCCGCAAATGGGCACTTTTTGGCTCGAAAATCACCATTTTCCACGGGCTCCAGGAATTTTCCACGATTTGAATTTTTCTAAAACTCCACGCATGCTGATGCCATGTGAGTCAAAAAACAAAATGCCTTCAACAGCGCCACCGTCGGCTCAAATAAAGTTGCACAGCGCCCTCTGGCAGCCATTTTCGCGTTTCATACTAATAGACCTGGTATACAATTCAGTATTAACATGAGTCTAAAATAAGGAAAACTATTTACATCTGTTTCTCATCCTTATCGGGCAAGCCCTATCATTATTTTATCATTGTATTAAGGGCAGTAGATATTGATTTATGAAAAAAGAATCATACTCGTGAAAAATAGTTCCATTTTCTTATAAACCTTTTCTTCAGCTTATTGCAACGTTTTATAGCCGCTTTTTAAATTATTATTTATATTTCAGAAAATTTTATCTTTCGAATTAGAGCATAAATTTAAGTTCGTAGCGCATTTACACCATATTGTATTAGTATTACAGTAACTCCGCCTTTGCCGGTCCCAAGCCCGGATGATAAAGGAGAAGGGGGAGCAGTAACAAGCTCGCTAAAAAACCTGGGCTCAGCTGGCCATGCTGATACTACCCTGTAAGGACTCCTAATCCAGAGATACAGGATGAGCAGTGTTTGTACTCCATGTTAGGAGTGGCTATACATGGCGTCTGTTCTTCATGTCAGAGGTGGCCATTTCTTTTTGGAGCTAAGTCGGCCTGCCACTGAGTAATGCTCCCAATCTTAATGACAAAGACAGACGCATTCTACTTCACCCAGTCATGATGGTTGTCAAAGCTTGATACCCTGATTTGATTGAGTGGAGATAAGAAAGAAGAAGAAGTATTACAGTATCTCCACCACGTGTAACCTTATAGATATATATTCTGACATTCCTCTACACCTCTCTATATGAAATATTAAAAAAAAAAAAAGAATAGAAAAACGTTCTAATAACTTTTTGTCACAATTACCAATTCAAAAAGAACGTAATTGCCAACGAAAGGAAATTGTCATCAAATTTAGAAACGATTATCTAATGGATTCCGGAATTCGTAACTTTCAAAGTAATTTAATTTGTTGGAAAAACTTATCAATAATTAACGTTATATCCGGGAAAGAATATAAATAGAAAATGTAATATTATTAAAAGCCACGTAGAGGTTTTGGAATATTTAAAGGTAGGCTACAAAATTATTGTGGTTTTTTGAAGATCGGCTTAAAAATTGTTTATTTAATTTTGTTTATAAGTGGTTTGAGTAGATATGGCCTGTTTTTTATTTATTACTGCTGTGTTGTATTTCTTCTGTTAAGTGAGATACAATAAAGCGCTAACTTTAGCTGCAATCCCTTCGAACTCACATGTGTATCTTTGTGACATCCTGAGTAGACAAAGTACACGAATAGCGTCTGGGTGCGACGTAACAATATTTTTGGTCTCAGTAGTACAACCTACTCCACTCTGACGAGCGCCAACAGCGCGAAACGCGTTCGTGGATAGCTTTTCTTGATTTATCAAAAAATTGGGTTGGCCAAATATCAGGTAACAGTTAAAATCAATGTTTAGTTGATTTCTGTTCCACTAGATGGCGCTCTACCATCTAAAAAAGCACATGTGCTTTTGGTCAGGATATGCTTTTGTGGCGACCACACTTTGCTTCAGCGAGCGCGAACTGGGACAAAGCTTCACTACACATACGGGCGGTAGTGTGGCGGCATGACTACGCATGCGCGCGGGACGTCATCCGAGGCTTTTGCTAGCCACTGGCGTCATAACAACAAGGCCTGCTCCCAACGGCCGTTACTTCAACCGTTACTTATTTTCTCTTTATATATTTCTGGCTTTAAATAAATTTTACAAGCCACACCACCAACATCACGCAACCACCATCCCACACTTTCATTATTTTAAATAAAAGTATATATATAAGGTGTTGGTGGGTGCTGAATTTTTGTGAAATTTTTAGAAACAAAAGATTATATTTTATGGTGTCAATATCTTGTGCAACCATTAGGTAGGAAACACTTCATGATCTATCTATATATATGACTACTTCCAGGATAGACTAGTCATTTTTAGGTGTTATCTCATGGGAAGTATATCCCTATATATTATTACACCTTGAGATGTAGATGGTTTTTGTTCAGCGGTTTCCATTATACTGTAGAATAAACCAGAACGAGTTCTCATTAAAAAGCTAACGCTTTATTTTGGTAAGGTTACAAAAAGAATAATGAAGAACGCCGTGGCTGCACAATGTTAACAAAGAATAAACAAATCAACCTTGATTCGTTTAATAAGTTAAATTATTAATGAAAATATTTACACGAGTCGGCTGTGACAATATATAAAAGTTAGTGTATATATGTATGTATGTATGTTTGTCGGCTATACACATCCAAAATACGTAACTAATCTGACTGAAATTTTAAAAGTATATAGAGTAGAATCTGGAAAAACTTATAGTGAAAATTACAGGTCTCTATCCCAAATATTTTCGTCGAGTTATTTGCAAATTTGCCTTTTCGCTCGCGAGCAGCGCCTCTAGCGGTGAAGATGGAAGGTAATATCAGCTGACCTAATGTACATGTAAAGTTTGGAGCGGGACGTTTCACAAGAGTGACATCCATGGCGCCAATTTATAATTGTAACGAATAGTATTTGAATGAAAATATTTAATCGGGTAAAACCCGGGCGTTCCTCGGGTCATTCGACTAGTAGAATAATAAATAAAACATCAATTTATTCTCAAGCTTTCAGGTTTGAAAACTCTTCTACAGGAGTATATGATGAGAAGTGTATATATGGACATTGAAGAAAAATTTAAAATACAATATAATGCGGCTTATGATTGTAAAACGACGTTTGACAATTTTTACCTCAAATGTTTCTTTTGAACGAAAAATCGTAATTTATTTTAAGGAGAAATAAAGATTATTTCTATCCTTAGGGATGAAGTATGAAAGGATGAATTATGAAGAGTAATGATAAACAGAAAAATAACCTAGTGGACATGGCATCTGCCTGGTAAGCGGAACACTGTGGGTTCGTTTCCCATCCCTGGACACTTTTGTTTTTACGTTCATCATTACTCTTCACAATTCATCCTTTCATACTTCATCCCTAAGGATAGAAATAATCGTTATTTCTCCTTAAAATAAATTACGATTTTTCGTTCAAAAGAAACATTTGAGGTAAGACTTGTCAAACGTCGTTTTACAATTGAAGAAAAAATATTGAGATGATCTAGCAATGGCTTCCTTCTATAGACAGCTATCTGATGGATGACTATTTCCATGATCGATCTCTTTTATGATGTCAAAAATAACCTGTCCAACCTCCAATGAGCGTCCACTTCCAGGAGAGACCCTATATATCATTGTATAGTCCATACAGCCGTATTTTAAAGAAATGGTTGAAACACGTTCTGGAGAGATACAAGACATGTCTAAGAAAAGAATCAAGGCTGAAGATTCTGTCAAATATATATATATTATATATGGCAATCCAGTGCAACAATTGGTCGAGATGCTGAGTATAGGATCTGGTGCTGTGATGGGAAGTGTATATATGGACATTGAAGAAAAATATAGAGATGATCTAGCAATGCCTTCCTTCTATAGACAGCTATCTGATGGATGCCTTTTTCCATAATCGACCGCTTTTATGACATCAAAAATGATCTGTCCAACCTCCAGTGAGCGTCCACCTCCATGAGAGACCCTATATATCATTGTATAGTCAATACAGCCGTATTTTAAAGAATGAAGTGTATCGAATGTTCCAAAGAAAAACGTGACAGATTTTGGCTCCTTCTCAACTTCTCCCCTAAGTTTAGGCCTCAAGGTGATCGACGCCAATCTGTCATTTCCTCACCACGCACAACGTTTTGTAACGTGTTCCTTACATTACAAGGTTTCTACCTTTTTTAAACTCCCCATACATAACCGCCATGGTGTATAATAAAATATACAAGGTCTTAAAACTTTTTTATTGGATCATTGCCTTCTGTTAGGGTTGGAAAGTCTTTGTATTTGTAAGGTTTATAAGATTATGAAAAAGGTCATCTCCTTATCGTGCAACTGAAAGTTGCTGATGGCTTGCGCCATCTATCGGAATAAATATCAACTATTCTCGTTGATTTTTAATTATTCCAGAATTGGCCAAATACTCATTCTTGACTAATCAAGAAAAGCTAACCACGGACGCGTTTCGGGCTGTTGGCCCTCATCAGCGTGGTGCAAACTGTACATCAACGACCAAAAAACTGGTCATTCAAGGCATCCTGAAAAATCATGAAACGGGTAGTAAAGGCGAGAATTGCGTGAGACCGCGACACAATGTGGAAAAAATAGTACAAATGTAATATTGTACTGGGATAAGGTGCATAAATTAAGAAAAAGGCATCTCCTTATCGTGCAACTGAAAGTTGCTGATGGCTTACGCCATCTATCGGAATAAATATCAACTATTCTCGTTGATTTTTACTTATTCCAGAATTGGCCAAATTTTATAAGATGTTATAGCACGGAGCATAACTTTGTATAGAATTCTTTGTATAGTTATTTTTTGTAAATGTTCAGACATCCATGTTTACTTCAAGTCTTGATATTCACAGTTGTAAGGTATCTATACAATTTGGCTCATTAGAGGCATAATGTTGATGAAACAATGCACTATGTCTGTGTAAATATTTAGCTCTAAAAATCCAACAACAAAGTCTTTATTAAGTACACTTGTCCCATACAGGATTCTCCTATATAGGTAAACAGAAGTAAACATAGTAGTTTATAACAGAAAGTGGAGATTAACCTCATTCTTTCTTCAAATTTGGTCGCTATTCTGTGTTATACCTTTTGACTGTGCTGTTCTCCAGAATTTGTGAAAAGTCAATATATTGGTCTTGTTTTTCACTAATTTTGCGCTAATAAAACATATGGCGATTTTTCATAAGTAATCTTTTGTTGCAGAATTACTCCTGATAAAATTGTGAAAACGTTTAAAAATACAAAAGTATTTTCTCACAATGAGTTTCTTTTTTATTTTAATCAAGTGATAATATCTCTTCAACAGGCTTAATAAAAAAACATCGACTATATCTTACAACAAATATTTACAAATACAAGTATATGTATATACCGCGTAGCGTGGATATATATATATATATATATATAGATGAAAAAACTGCCGGGAGGAAATTGATCCATAGAAGCATAGGGCGCTTCTCCCGTCAAAATAAACGTCAAAAAACTGACGCCATCTATTGACCTTCGCCGCAAACTAGCGGCCTCGGGTCGGTGACAAAGCCACAACACCAGCTTTGGCAAATTGAGAAGCGTACACCTAGAGACCATGGTTTTGGGCTAATGGCCCTCGTCAGTCTAGGGCGGACTTTATTCCATGAGATCCACAAGGGATCTAATGGAATCTTCACAATCTACCAAAGCTGGTGTTGTGGCTTTTTCACCGACCCGAGGCCGCTAGTTTGCGGCGACGGTCAATAGATGGTGTCAGTTTTTTGACGGGAGAGGTGCCCTATGCTTCTATATATATATACTAGACGGGTGACCCGGGCTTCGCCCCGGGATTGACCCGTGTGTATATCTACCCGAGTGATATATATTTAGATAAGATTTTTTTTATAATTGTTTGTTATTAGCATTATCTATTTGTTTGCATCAGCATAATTTAATCTAATCTTTGATAGAGGGCGCTGTTCGTGAGATAAGTAGAATAATTTGAATATATAGTTTTAATAATTGATTTATATATTTTTTAAAATAGCCTATCGTCTTCCCCGTATTTTTTACCTATGTATGGAAATTTTGGTTTGAATTAGTGAACTACTGCGAATTTGTATACCGGACATACAAACAAACAAACAAACATACAAACATTCATTTTTATATATATAGATATTGTTCCAGTAGATGGCACTCTTCCATTTAAAATGCACATGAGAGCGATCAGGAAATGCCAATTTTGTTTTTAATATCAACATCTGACCATATATATATATATCTTATATATAAAAAAAAGAGATTTCTGTTGTATTTTAGAATTGTTGAAATTATGGTATGGTAATGCAGTCGTGGTTGAAATCTTTAAAGTATGATAATGAAAAATAGTTTTAATCAGTAATTTAATTGAGTTAAAGGGATATATAAAAAAGACATAATTTGATAAAAGTGCTGCCTGACTTAAGACGAGTAGAATAAGGAAAACAAAAGATTATTTACATAATGTACAAAAGTTTTGAGCCGGCCCGCGGGAAAGAACAACAACGAGATTTTAAAGGGGAAGCATGACCTCTGGCGGTCGATTTAACATAGTATTTGGATCTATGAAATATAATTTTAAATAGAATAATATTTCAATATAACATATATATTTTTTATTTTTAGCATATATATATAGCAAATAATATCGTTTCTATGCCCTTCCTACAAATTGCCTTCTTCAGCATAAGACTTAACGACTTTTTCCGATAGTTATTGTTTTTTTAAAGTTATATGGAGACTTTAAACATGTTCAGGATTTAGGATTAGGCCATCTCAAATATCTTTATCATATGATAGATGGGATAATGTTCTAATAAGTATATGGATAAGATTTATCTTCCACAGCCCTAGAACAATAGGAAACATTCTCAGAAATCCCATCACTAAACCACGTATAAATCAGAATCCCTAACAGAAGACATTCTATATCATGTCTAGATTGTCAAACCATTTATGTTGGTGAAACAAGGAGAAAAATATAAACCAGAATAAAAGAACATATATATAATACTAAAACCAAAGACCCAAGATCACTAATATACCAGAATGTCACAAATACAGACCATACATTCAATCTAGAAAGCCCTACCTGTCACTACTGTAATATACCGTCCAAGTCAGAAATCCTTGAATCCCTCATATTCAAAGAACAGTATCAACAGAAGACATCACAGAACAATTCTGTCATACTTCAAATCAAGATTAAATAGCCATTATTGAGTAAATCTCACTCCTCCGTGCTTACTCACGATTGTAATGCTGCCTGTTAAAAAGCGAAAGCTTGAAAACTCACGGTGTTTTTGTAATAAGTAAACTTATTGCATAAAGTTTTTGATATTTTTATAAAATATACCCATACCTCGCTTTACGTCGGGGTTACGTTCCAAAAAAACACGACGCAAATTGAAACGACGCAAAGTGAAAATATGTGAAGGCGCAAACAAAAACAAAGGTGTTGCCATATTTTAGGAAAAAAAGAAATTTCAAAAAAAAATTCAAAAAAAAAAAAAATTAAAGACTCGAATCCAAAACAACGCAACTTCGAAAATCTAACGACGCACAGTGAAAATCAGTAAAAATTAAGCAGCGACGCAATTTCGAAAAAAAAAAAAAACGCAAAACGAAACGACGTAAAGCGAGGTATTGGTGTATATCGCAATTTTATTATTATCTAATTATAGATAAAGTGATGCATTGTAAGATTGATGAGTTAACAGAATTGTGTGTGGGTAGAAAATGCGTAGGTAGATGTATGTAGATGGGAATAGAGTTAATTAAAGGTAGGAGTTGCTGATAGAGGTAGCGTGTCTACACAGCGTGCTTGGAATGTCAGCATGGTGTCACGTTGTCACCGTGGTGGTCAACAACCACCAATAGACATGACTCACTTAGAATTTAACCTCTTATAGTTACATATTCCTACACTATATTTGCATATTTTACATAACTGTTAGACCTTCGAGTGCTGTCACATAATTTTATGTTTAATGTTATATAAGGAAGGTATGTAAATTCTATAACTGATTTTTCATTTCTAGTTTCTAGTTTTGTTGTGAGAAAAACATCACTCATTAATTAAGAAAAAGACATCTCCTTATCGTGCAACTGAAAGTTGCTGATGGCTTGCGCCATCTATCGGAATAAATATCAACTATTATCGTTGATTTTTAATTATTCCAGAATTGGCCAAATACCCATTCTTGATTAATCAAGAAAAGCTAACCACGGACGATTTTCGGGCTGTTGGCCCTCATCAGCGTGGTGCAAGCTGTACCTCACTCTCAATTCCTCAATT